AGGTGATGGATCTTGCACCAAAATGCACGGATCTACAAAGAAATCTGCAAATGCCCGAATGTAAATCAAAGGAAAAAAAAAAAAGTAGCTCCAGATCTGCACAGAGAGGGGCCAACTCACCGGCTTAGAGGTCACATAGTAGGGGGCTCGATGGCAAGAAGCCAGAATCCAGCAGCAACGGCAAGAATAGAGTCGGAGAAAATGAACCAAATTTGCCGCAGAGGAAGAAGAAGAAATGGGGGAAAGAAGGGCGGATGGGGGGTTAAAGTCGAGTATATTCGACAGCAATGCTGTCGAATATACAAGAATCATAGTTCGAAACGACAACGTTTCTTATATATTCGACAGCATTGCTGTCGAATATACAAGAAACATAATCGACAACCTGTTGGCTATCGATTATATATATTCGACAACCAATTGGCTGTCGAATAAAACTATATATTTGACAGAATAATTGTCGAATATATTTTCTGTCGATTATGCACCAAACCATTGGGTACCTTAACTGTTATACTTCTAACGGTTATAAGGGTACCTTAACCATTAAATGTTTTTGATGTTCTTGTCTTTATACTTCTAACGGTTATAATGGTACCTTAACCATTGGGTTTTGATTTTCAATAGGTATTCTTGCTTTTTATTTTTAAAAAATGATCTTTTTTATGATGTTATATAACATAACTTATTATGTACCATCTAATCTAATTTTTTACGCGAGTGCCACCAAAGAGAAGGATTAGAGAGCTTGAGATAAAGAAGGGGAGAGCGAGAATGGAGAAGAGGAAAAGTTGAGAGAAAGTGAAATTGATGAGAGATTAGGGTTTGAGTATTACATTTATTTCTACTTTTATGATTAGCAAATTAGAAATTTAAAATTAATTTTTAAGTAATCTAATAAAAAATAAATAAATAAAAGTTTGGGTCATTTCGGGTGACCTGACCCACCCGTGACCCAACTCATTTGGATTCGGATAATATCAATCTGAGTCATTTCAGATTTCGGATTAACACATAAGGCCCATGACCCAACCCATAACGGATGGGTTGGGTCAGATTTTCAAATTGGCTCCAATTTTGCCAAGTCTATCCTCCTCCTATCCCAAACCAAATTCTTTGTAAATCATGAATATAAAGAATTGTACACTTCCAAATAATTATGTCAACATTTTCAAAAGCAACTAGATATCTTAATGATGTCCATCTCTCATCACTTCCCAAAAACGTCACCACATTGAAATGCATTTCAATTAGGTTTGATTCTGCTTTCCCAAATGTAGTACCTCCTCCTCCTACCAATGCCAATAGTTGCTAAAGCATAAAACCCAGATCAATTTGTTCTCTGATGCAATACCGAGGTCAACAATGGCAAACCAAGAAAAAATTGAAAAAAAAAATTGAAGAAACTCATATCAGAGTAAGAGACAAATATGAAGCAAAATTCCTTAAATCTAACTCCCAACATAGTGCGCTTCCCAAAAAAATCCACAACACAGTGCCTATTTGCTTTGCCTGCACAAAAGGCCAACAAAATTCAATTCATGTAAACCAAATTGAGATTGGGAATGAGAAAGGCAACATTAAAGAGAGCAAGAAAGAGGACAAGAGAGGGATTATCCGTTTTAAACATAATAAAGAGAATAATATAAAGATGCAGAGAGAGAAAGAGAGGAAAAGCATAAGAATGGAAGGGACAAAAACTAACACGAGGTTTTTTCGAGTGTGTCTAATGCCCCTAATCACTGTCATGACGTATTGTGTGTGAGTTTGATTCATAAGTATAGTGATTAATTACTATTAATAATTTAAATTTTGAAGGAATTATATACTTGAGTTTGAAAAGTTAAGAGATTAGTGACAAGTTTTGGCTTAGATCATTTTAATTGCTATCAAAACAATCATCTATGGTTGACCATCGCAACGCCTCAAATCTCATGTTGTTGGAGGATTGTTAGGAAATCTAATATATAAATATGGAAACCAATCACTACTAACAACTTCAGTTAAGTTTTGGTTAAATACCTTTTTGGTTCCTCTACTATTGAAAAAAGCCTCTTTTTTGTCCCTATACTGAAAAAATCCCCTTTTTGGTCCTTAAAATTTAAGATCTGACCCTTTTTAGTCCCTTCGTTAAATTTTTACTAACGTGTTAATTAATAAAATTACTTGATTGTTTTTTATATAAATGATATTATAAATGAAGTGGAAATTACGTGGATAAAATCATAAATCCATATAAGCATTTCATTTAAATATTTTGGGCCACATGTACAAATTAAAATTTTTACTTCTTAATTTATGAATTAAATGAATTTAAACATAATTAACTTTAATTTCTTCATCTTCTTCTTTCTCCTCACATTATCCTCATCCTCACCCTCATCCTCGGCATCATCATGGCATTGTTTATCTTCATCTTCTTCACCATCCTCTCCACCATGCTATTCACCATCTCCTTTGCCATCCTCTTCATCATCTTGGGTTCTATGAGGAACCCAAAAACAAGTTTTGGGTTCATTACGAAACTTAAATCGTGTTTGATATTTAGGTTTGAAACTACAAGTGATAGATTTATGTTATTGTGTTCATGTTGTTATAAACTTCACAACTTGGTTCATTCATAACCTAGATTCAACAAGAAAAAAGGGTTGAGAATCTGAAATTAGGGAAAGAGTAAAGAGAAGGATATGTTTTGCAGAGTAAAAGTTAGGGTTTATCAATAAAATATTCCTATCGATTCTTAATTATGTCTTGACCAATCTCACATGCTGTCTCTTATACACAACTAGAGGTGTATAAGAGACAGATATTTAATAGTTAAATCAAGACTACGTTATAAAGTGTGTTGAATTGAATGTATACTAATCTATTTAAAATAAAATGATTCATTTAATAAAAAACATTGATTAGTACATATTTTAGTTCAATACATTACGTTACACACTCATTAAAAAAAAAAAATTTGGTTTACAATTAAAAACAAACAAATTTAAAATGGTAACCATAAATAGAGGATATAGAGATTAATAAAATTAAATATACTTATATTATATTTTAATAATCAAATTAGGACAAGTATTATAAAATGTGTTTAATCAAGTATGTATTAATCAGTTTTAAATAAAAAAACTATTATTAAAACTATAAGATGAAGAAAATATATTAATTTCTTAATTTTATTAAGATTCAAAGAAAATATCAATAAAAAAATTAAAATTAATTCTTTTTAAAAATAAATAACTAATATCATAAAAAGATATTTAACATTCAAATCATCAATAAAAAAGTTTGCCCCCTCACTTAATTTCCTAACTCTACCAAAGTACCACTAAATTTAGCTCTAGCTATTCTCCTAATAGTACTTTTAGCTACACTA